GCAACTGAAAACCTTAGAACAGAGAGAAGCGAATTCACCCCGCAGGAGCAGACGCCAGGAAATAATCAACTTGAGGGCTGAAATCAACAAAATAGAAACCAGGAAAACAATACAAAAAATCAATGCAACAAAGAGTTGGTTTTTTTGAGAAAATCAACAAGATTGATAAACCTTTATCCAAATTAACGAAAAAGCAGAGACAGAACATGCAAATTAACAAAATCAGAAACGAAATGGGGAACATAACAACAGACACAGAGGAAATCCAGACAATTTTCAGATCATACTTCGAAAATCTGTATTCCACAAAAATTGAAGAGTCAAAGGAAATGGACAAGTTTCTGGATAACTATCACTTACCAAAATTAAATCAAGAACAGACAAACAACTTAAATAGACCTATAACCCGAAATGAAATAGAAGCAATCATCGAAAGCCTTCCAACGAAAAAAAGTCCAGGGCCAGATGGATTCAGTGCAGAATTCTACCAGACATTCAAGGAAGAACTAATACCACTACTCCTCAAACTGTCCCACAAGATAGAAACAGAAGGTTTATTGCCAATCTCTTTTTATGAGGCCACAATAACTTTGGTACCCAAACCTCACAAAGACACAACTAAGAAAGAAAACTACAGACCAATATCCCTGATGAACATCGATGCAAAAATACTCAATAAAATAATGGCAAACCGAATTCAAAAATACATCAGAGAAATCATCCACCATGATCAAGTAGGCTTCATACCTGGATTGCAGGGATGGTTTAACATACGAAAATCTATCAACGTGATCCACCATATAAACAAACTGAAAAAAAAAAAACCATATGATTATCTCCCTAGATGCGGAAAAAGCCTTCGACAAAATTCAACACCCTTTCATGATAAAGGTATTAGAGAGGTCAGGGATAACAGGAAAATACCTAAACATAATAAGAGCAATATACAGCAAACCAACTGCCAACATCAAACTAAATGGAGACAAACTTAAGCCAATTCCTCTAAAATCAGGAACAAGACAAGGCTGTCCTCTCTCTCCATATCTCTTCAATATCGTACTAGAAGTTCTAGCTAATGCTATAAGACAACAAAAGGAGATCAAGGGCATCCAAATTGGAAAGGAAGAAGTCAAACTGTCTCTATTTGCAGATGATATGATAGTTTACATAAGCGACCCAATAAACTCTACCAGGGAACTCCTACAGCTGATAAACACCTTCAGCAAACTAGCAGGATCCAAGATAAACTCAAAAAAATCAGTAGCCCTATTTTTGTCAGACGACAAAGAGGCAGAGAAAGAAATCAGAGAAACATCACCCTTTACAATAGCCACAAGCAACATAAAGTATCTTGGTGTAACGCTTACCAAACAAGTAAAAGATCTATATCATAAGAACTTTGTGACTCTAAAGAAAGAAATTAAAGAAGATACCAGAAAATGGAAAGACCTCCCATGCTCTTGGATAGGTAGGATAAACATAGTAAAAATGGCAATCTTACCAAAAGCAATCTACAGATTCAATGCAATCCCCATTAAAATCCCACCACAATTCTTCACCGACCTTGAAAGGATAATAATCAACTTTATATGGAAAAACAAAAGACCCAGGATAGCCAAAACAACCCTATACAATAAAAGAACATCAGGAGGCATCACCATTCCTGACTTTAAGCTCTACTACAGAGCTATAGTTCTGAAAACAGCCTGGTATTGGCATAAAAATAGACAGGTAGACCAATGGAATCGAATTGAAAATCCTGATATTAATCCACGCACCTATGAACACCTGATTTTCGACAAAACAGCTAAAATTATACAATGGGGCAAAGACAGCATCTTCAACAAATGGTGCTGGCACAGTTGGATGAGGGGTGTGTAGAAGACTGCAGATAGACCCATGTCTGTCGCCATGCACAAAACTCAAGTCCAAATGGATCAAAGACCTCAACATCAATCCAGCCACATTGAACCTCTTAGAAGAGAAAGTAGGAGGTACCCTTGAACAAATTGGTATAGGAGACCGCTTCTTGAACATAACTCCAGGGGCACAGACACTGAGACCATCAATTAATAAACGGGACCTCTTCAAACTTAGAAGCTTCTGTAAGGCAAAGGACACAGTGGACAAGACCAAACGGCAGCCAACAGACTGGGAAAAGATTTTCACCAATCCTATATCCGACAAAGGGCTGATCTCCAAAATATACAAAGAACTCAAGAAACTAGTCAACAAAACACCAAATAACCCTACTAAAAAATGGGGTACAAAACTGAAGAAAGAATTCTCAATATAGGAAATCAAAAAGGCTGAAAGACACTTAAGAAAATGCTCCACATCCTTAGTTATCAGGGAAATGCAAATCAAAACAACTTTGAGATACCATCTTACTCCTGCCAAAATGGCTAATTAGAAACACCAATGAGAACTCATGTTGGAGAGGATGTGGAGAAAGGGGAACACTCCTCCTCTGCTGGTGGGAATGCAAACTGGTACAGCCATTTTGGAGATCAGTATGGCAGTTCCTCAGGAAAATGGGAATTAATTTACCACAGGACCCAGCAATCCCCCTCTTAGGCATATACCCAAAGGATCCACATCCATGCAACAAAGACATCTGTTCAACTATGTTCATAGCAGCACTATTTGTAATAGCAAGAACCTGGAAGCAACTTAGATGCTCCTCAATTGAAGAATGGATAATGAAGATGTAGCAAATCTACACAATGGAATACTACTCTGCAGAAAAAAAGAATGTTATCTTGAAATTTGCAGGCAAGTGGATGGCACTTGAAGAAACCATCCTGAATGAGGTAACCCAGTCACAAAAAGAGGATCATAGTATGTACTCACTCATATATGGATTTTAAAGGATCACCAGCCTATAATTAACACCACCAGAGGAACTAGGATACAAGGTGTATTCTAAGAGATTCATATAAAGTCCCTCACAGAACAGGGAAGGGATAAGTCCCCCAGAGCACAGGGCAAGTGGGGGGGGGGCAGCAAATGGAGAGAGAAGTAGGAAAAAGCGAGGGGGAGGAAAGGAAAACATGTTCGAGTAGGAAGATTGAGCCCTGTTAGGAATAGAAGACAGGAGAGAGAGAGAGAGAGACAGAGACAGAGACAGAGACAGAGAGACAGAGAGAGAAACGAGAACATAAAAGAGGGAGCCAATATTGGTTTGTAGATAAAATTGAACACAAAGAAAGGTCTAGAGAACTACAAGACTGCTGCCAACTAACAATTTGAGCATCTGTGGAAAGGCTACCATAAATGCCCTTCCCGGAGAGTGAGATCAACAACTAACTTCTCCATGGAGCCCTCATCTAATACCTGTTGGAAACATGAGCAAACACCCATACATAAACACTGAGTCGAAGTAGAACCCAGATGTAGATGGAGAGGACAAGACCAAGCTGCAGAAACACATAGAGACAGCTGACCTGAACAAGGAAGAGCTAATAGGCCCCCAGACTGATAGCTGGGAATCCAGCATGGGACTGACTCGGGCCCCCGGGAAGGGGGGGCGGGCCGGAGGGGGGGGGGGGGTGGGGGGCCCGCGGGGGGGGGGGGGGGGGGGATCCCGGGGGGGAAAAGGGGCGTGCGGAAAAAACCCCCTGGGGGGGGAGCTGCCTTAATTTAGAGAGGGGGGGGGGGGGTCGGCCCCTCTTCTTAGGGGGTGGGGGGGGTTCAGGAGGACCAAAGGGGGGGGGTCCCCCTCTTTTGGTGGGGGGGGGGGGGGGGGGGGGGGGGGGGGGGGGGGGGGGGGGGGGGGGGGGGGGCAGAAAGGGTGGGAGGGAGGGAGGAAAGGAGGGAGGGTGAACTGGGATCGACATGTAAAATAATAAATTAAATTTAAAAAAAGGAAGAAAAATAAGGGAAAAAAATAATTGTAATAGTTTGAAAAGGTACAAATACATATTAACAATGTAGACTTGACAGGTCTATCTTTAAGGAAATATACCCAACAAGTCACTCAATGTGTATTTCAAAATCTATATGATGCGTGATGTCCTATGCCTGTAACCACACTCAGGAGACTCAAACAAGATTACCATGGGTTAGATGCCAACCTGAGCTAGGAAACCCTATCTCAAAAAAACAAAATAAAATTTTTAAGATTCATTTTATGAACCATAAAAACCACAATCATCTTTATTATAAGTATAAAACAAGATACAAGCCATGTGAACTTTGGGGGAAAAAAATTAACAGTATAATAACTATTATTAGCTGTCTTATGATAGGATAGACTTTATTACCTACCTATATCACAAATTCATCTGTCCATCACTTAAAGCTATAAGGCAGTATCCTGATAAGGCAGTATCCTTAATAAATTTAGTGGGAAAAGGGACACAAGAACACTTTTGAAATGTATACAATTAGAAATATTTTGATTGATATAGTAACCTGCTATGGTTCTGGAACAGTAATATGCTTCCATCTGGAATTTGCTACTGAAAAAAAAAAAACTACGAGGTATTTATAATTCTTTTTTTTTTTTTTTTTTTTTTAATAGAAAGGAAAAAGGGAGCCTTGCATATTGAGCACACACCTTTAATCCCAGTACTCAGGAGGCAGGGATAGGCAGAGCTCTTGAGTTCAAAAACAGACTGGTCTACAGAGTAAGTTCTAGGACAGCCAGAACTACACAGACAAACTCTATCTTGGAAGAAAAAAGAACTTTTATTTTAGCAAATAATAAAAGTCAAGAAGTAGATCTCTTATTTTCTTTCAAGTGTAGCCTTTCATCTAAGAGGTATTTAAAACATTTGGTGTAAAGTGAAAAAAAAAAAAAACAATTTACATGAGACAGTCGATTATTTCATAACTCAGCAAGCTCAGGCACCTCTTTGAAACTGCATAATAAACACACTCATCAACAAAGTCCCAAGAAATTACTCAAATGGGCAGGACAGGAGGAGAGAGATAGTAATTACAGAAGCAAAGTTAAATACATCATGATTTATTCCAACTACATAAAATAATTTTACCAATTTTTGATGGGAATAATGTTTCATCATCCAGCTGGTCTTGAACCCAGGTCATCAGGTAATCAATATACTTTGGTGCAGAGCACTTGATTGGCTTTTTTATATTTGTTCCATCTGCCCAGTGATACTCATATCTGCCATGGGAAAGACGGAAAACATAGAGATCACAAGAGAGGTATGAACGTGCACATATAAGTATTTGTATTATGAATGTGTACACACACGTTTTAAACAATCTGTTCTTCCAAGTAAGTACACATTTTTAATCAACAGTAGCCTGTTTTGCTCTTATCACAATCCAACCTAAGGAGATTCCATCAAACTCATCATCTATAGAAGATCTCCCTACTTATCCCATTTTCTATCTTTTCCTTTCTTTGTCTTTTTTCTTTGTTTAAAAAAAACAAAAACAAAAATAAAAACAAGAAAACAACAACAAAAACCCCCAAGTTTCTCCTTATGTAGACCAGGCTGGCTCTGCCTCCCAATTGCTGGGGTTAAAACACAGGCCGCCATGCACAGCCCCTGAATTAAGCGCTCTCTCTAACACAGAGTAGAATAATAGATTGCAAAACTGGAAGAAGTTATTACTCTACAATGGCTACCTCTGAACTTTATAGTTGTTTTCCTTTCTTACACAAAATGCAGTGTAATTCTTTTTACTTTCGGGCTTTAAATTTGAGGGTTAAGCATAAAAAATGACAGAAAATTCAAAGTAGAACTAATGTAAATAAAAATGGTTCCATAGTTTAGTCATTTGTACAAGGAACTAATATACCCTTAATTGGCAACTCAAAAATGCTCATTTTCAGTATTAACATTACCCTTTGATTAATATGCAACCATCACGTGAGAAACACAAGGTCAGGAACAAAGAACACTAAATGAAATGCAGATTAGCAGGATGGATGTCCACAAATATATAAGTAAAAATATGTATGAACTGCCTGTCTAAAATTAACAGCTTACCCTTGAAAAATCTACCTACAAGTGCAAATATAAAACAAGTTACTTGATCTATATTCTGGCTAAACCTCAAGTTATTTTCTTAAAAACGGCCTTTTCAATCTCAATCTCTCTCTCGCTCATACACACACACACACACACACACACACACACACACACACACACAAAACCTCCCTGTATGTGTTGCAGTAGTACAAACTGCACAGTATTCATATACATCAACATAGCCTTAAAGAACTAAGTACATAGCTGAAACTCCAAAATATAAAATGTATAAACTGTACTAGCATGGAGATTTTTAGTTTTTAACAATTCTTCTGCCATTTCACTTTTTTGTAGCTGTTTTGTTTTGTTTTTTGAGTTGGGTTTCTCTGTAAAGACCTGGGTGTCCTGGAACTCATTCTGTACACCATGCTTCTCGCCCACAAGTGATGTGATTAAAGGTGAGTGACACTAACACCCAGCACTACTTCATTATCCTTTGTTTGGTTTTTCATGACAGGGTTTCTCAGCTGGCGTTGGTGACCTTTAGTCCCAGCACTCTCAGAGGCAGGCAAATCTCTGTGAATTTGAGTCCAGCCTGGTCTATAGAGAAGTTGCAGGACAGGGTTCAAAACATACAAAGAAAGCCTGTCTCGAACCCCCTCCCCCACCCCACCCAACCCCCCCCAAAAAAAAAGGTAAGGAGGAAAAAAACAGGCTTTCCCTGTGTAGTTCTGGCTGTCCTGGAACTGTCTGTAGACCAGGCTGGCCTTGAACTTAATAAAGAGCTGCCTGCCTCCTAAATTATGGGATTAAAGGATTAAAGGCATGCACCACCACCACCCAGCTACAACTTCACTTTTTTAATCAACTGTTTTCTAACCTTTTCCCCAGAGTTTGACCTGATTGACTGAAGAACAGACTACTGAGCCTAAGAAAATAGCCATATAACAGAGAATTACTACATGGTATTTAACTGGTAAAAATTATCTTCAATACTATGAATGGCGATCCTTTCTATTTATCAAATCTATATCTTAATAATAATCCAAAACTGTTCTAAGAGCAATAAACCTTAATAAACATTCTTAGAATAGCCTTTATTATCACTGCCAAGCATGAGCAATGACCAATCAAATCCACTGTTAAGTCTCAAAAGGGAGACTCCCAACACCTACCGGTGCCCTGGTGTGATGGGTAATCACTTTCACAGTCAAAACTTCCTCTATTATAAAATTTAAATACTCAGTACAATTTTAGGCCTCTTTTCTTTGATGAGTAGATTTAACTAGTATTACTCTTCACTAAAGAAACATGCACTTAGGGATGAAGAGATGACTCAACACTTAAGTGTGGTTACTGCTCTTGCAGAGAACTTGGGTTCATTTCCAGCATTCAAATGGTAGTTTGCAGTTACCCTGGTAAGTCCTCTTCTGGGGGATCTGATACTCTGTTCTAGTCCCTGCAGGCTCCTGAATTCACATGGTACACACTCATACATATAAAATAAATAAATGCATCTTTAAGAAACAAGAAGGTGGGCTGGACAAATGGCTCATCAATTAAGAGAACTAGCTGCTCTTCCAGAGGACCTGGATTCAATTGTCAGCTTCACAAGAGAGCTCACAACTCCAGTTCCAGGGAATCCAACACCTTCAACCAGACATACATGTAGGCAAAACACCAATGCATATCAAATAAAAGTGAATTTTTAAAAAGGAAACAAAAGGGCATCTATATTTTCTCTCTATGTTAAGAAGCTTGAAAGTCTTTACCCTTTCTTCACAATCATGTTTGTTTATTTTTTTGTGGAACAATCTTTGTACATTGTGAATATGCATTACTCTCACTGGTTAAAAAAGAACTGACTGGGCAGGAAGAGACTGGATGGGAGAGCCAGACTAGGAGGATGCTAGGAAGAAGGGCAAAGTCTGAGGAATCTAGAGAAGATGCAGAGTGAACAGGATGAGAAATACATACGTGAGGTAACAAGACTCAGGGCAACACAAAGGTTATTTAACCCAGAATTGGATTAATTAACCCAGAAATTGGTTAATTTAAGTAATAAGAGCTAATTAAAAACAAATTTAACCTATCAGCCAAGCAAGTTTCTGTGTGGTTATTTGGGAATTTGCTAGTGGGACAGAAAGATTCATATTCGATATCCTGAAGTTTTACAAATTATCTCGGAACTTTCAACACCCTAAGACTTTTTGAAAAATGAAACAACTATATGTTGTTTATACCTTTAGCACTTAAACCTATGATTCCTTCCCTAGTCTTTTCTTTTGTTATAATTAAGATTTTGTTATGGTTTGAGTCTGAAATGTGTCCCACATTTCAGGTGTTGGCTTATTGTGGAACCTTTACAAATGGTGCATGTATACCACTGGGTACAGGCATGGAAGGTTTCAGTTGGAGTTGTCTCTCCTTCTGATTCTCCAGTATCCTTCCTGATCCTCCTGCTCCATGCCAAACCATCAGCTATTGTGGGTGCCCATAAAGATGACTGCACTCCATCTTGGCACAAGGACAGAGTTCAAAGCTGTCAGCAAGTCACAAGACCTAAAGGTCAAAGGTGTGGCTACAGAAGGATGTTTCGGCCATCTTAATCAAAATAACAACAAACCTGAATCTGAGGTATGGCTACTCCTGACCTCAAAGCTAGGGAACAAGAAGTTTAGAGCTAAGGTGTGGTTACTGAATGCTGAGAATAAGGGAGGAAGAAAAGTCTGTTTGTTCCATATACATGATACTGTGTTCCACTTTTTGGTTATGGTATATAAGAGTTTCAAAAAATAAACTCATGGCATTTCAGTATTGACTGATCTGCCCTCCTGACCTTTATTCTGTCTCTCTCTCTCTTTCTTTATTATCTATAGATAGCCTTTCCATCATCCACACTACCCCACACAGGTATGGACTTGGGGCAAAGACTGTTCCTAACAAGCCATGCCTTCCCCACTGTGACAGACTGAAATGCCCTGAATCTGTGAGCCAAAACTGAGACTTCAAGTTGCTTCTGTCAGGTATTTTTTCACTACAACAATAAAACAAATTACACAAATTACCTCATTGGCCTGGGGGTAATGGTATACACCTCTGATCCCAGCACTTGGAAGGCAGAGGCAGAGGCAAGCTGAGTTTGAGGCCAGCCTGGTCTACAGAGCAAGTTCTACAACAGCTTGGACTACACAGAGAAAGCCTATCTTGTGAGGGAATATTCTCAAAAGAGGAAGATAGAAAAAGGAAAAAAAGAGCTGGGAATCATGGGAATATAGCTATAATCCCAACACAACTGAGAAAGCTTCTAGTCTAATGCCTACCTGGACTGCATAGGTAAGATGTAGTCTCAAAACAAAATTTTTAAGGGAAAAAGAGAGTGAAGAGCAGGTGGGCAGGCAATGTGCTACAGAAGAATCTACTTTTTTTTTTTTTTTTTGAAGGTAGAGCTACTTCCTCAATACATACTAACCATGTAAGAACAAAATTAAAACCATCTATTTTCACATGAAACTTAAAACATCTGAACTAAACATCAATAGTCCCAACAGGAATTAAGTTATAAAAGGGAATTTAATTTTTGCAATGCCTCTTTTTCTTATAAAATCTTAAAATAACAAGAGGCAGGCCAGGCATTGGTGGCATAGACCTTTAATCCCAGCACTCGGGAGGGAGAGGCAGGCAGATCTCTGAGTTCAAGGCCAGCCTAGTCTACAGAGCTAGTTCCAGGACAGGCTCTAAAGCAATACAGAGAAACCCTATCTGAACAAACAAAACAAACAAAAGAAACAAAAGAGACAGAAATATAATGAAACTAAGACATTTTCATCTGTCTGAACCACAATATTTAGCCAAAGGGATATCTAATTCATTTAAAATCAAATTTGAAAAGGAAAGGCATTTCTGATTTAAAATCTACAGAGGGTCAAATGTGGTACACACCAATCATCTCAGGATTCAGAAGAGGCATGCAGATCTCTATGAACCAGAGGCTAGCCTGAGCTACATAATGAGTTCCAGGACAGACTGGGCTACAGGGAGACTGTCTCAAAAAAGCAGCAACAAAATTTCCATAAAAAAAGCAGTTTGCCAAAATAAAAAGTTCCTCAAGAGGTGAAAACCACCAGCCACAATTCTAATAGAAATCTAAAGGAAGCAGGAAACAGACGTGGGGAAACTCCCACTTGTGGGCAAGAAAGTACAGGGCAAAACAGAGCTCTCTACTTTTCTAGTAAGAATGGCCAGTGTATGTTTACCTCCTGAGACAGCAACACACCATTCCTGGGCTTCCATATCTCTGCTGCAAGTTCTATGATCAGCTGACTAAATTCTGTGTGTTGGTCAGTAATTTTCTGGTAAACATTGGGATATGAAGTAAAATATATGACATATTTATTTATCACTAAATAAATAGCAGTGTCCTTTATTAGTAGTAATAGTAAAAGCCAACTTCAAAAGGGCAGAGTCTATCCATATTGACTGCTGAAGAGGTGGTAAGTTCTGTCTTTGCACCAAGACAGATTTAAAAGAACAAATAAAGAATTTAAGAAGCCTTCCTGATGCCCTTGATTTGATCCTGAGTGCACACACAATATTGTGGTGATATTATTTATAATTTAATAAAGGTTTCCTGAGGGTTCAGAATGCAAAGCCACTCAGACCAGGCAGTGGTGGTACACAACTTTAACCCCAGGACTCAGGAGACAAAGATAGATGGATCTCTGTGAGTTCAAGGCCACTCAGGAATACACAAAGGTAAACTCGGCCCTTGGGATCACACACCTTTAATCCTAGCACTAGGAAGGTGGAGAGAGGACTGATATGGCTGGGCAAAAAAAGGAATACACAGCGGGAGGAGACAGGAACTCTGAGCATTTGCCTTGGAGAATTCATGGGAAACAGGATTGCCATTTCAGCTTGGTAGAGGTTAAGAGTTACTGACTTGGCTGCTTTGCTTTTCTGATCTTCATCCTGAACCCCAATATTTGTCTCTGGGTTTATATTAAATGTGTTATACAATATTACAGTATAAACATGACATAATAAAAAAATGTATCATAAGAGTGAAACCACTAGGGCTCAGAAAGATGCCTCAGCTGTTTGGAGCCTGCAAAGCTCTTCCAGAGGACCTGAAATAGGATCCAACCTGCAGCAGCTCCAGGAAATCAGATGTTTCTGGGCACTTGCACTCACACACACACACACACACACACACACACACACACACACACACACACACCAATCTTTTAAAATGAAAAAGTTGGGCAGAAGTTGGGCAGAAAGAGGACATCCTTCTGGGCACTTGCACTCACACGCACTCACACACACACACACACACACACCAATCTTTTAAAATGAAAAAGTTGGGCAGAAAGAGGACATCCACACTGAAGAATCCTAAGTGACTCCATAGGGAAAGAAATGTTCAGCATGGGCCTGGAACAAGGGTGAGACATTTTAAAACATTAACATAAGATAAAAAGAAGAAACAGAAGAGAAGAAAAATGTCCAAGAAGGGTAGAAGAAGCAATTTTTCAAAAGAAACAGAGTAAGTGGCAAGGAGTTTCCAGGAAGCTAGTTTAGGTGAATGAGGAAAGATACCATGTATGGAGAGGAAAGGCAGGAAACAGCAGAAGACAAGCACAGGAAAGCCACTAAGGGAACTACTAGAACCCAGGAAGAGCATCCAACAACAGTGACAAGGAAAACTGATCATTAACTGTGTCTTACTTTGGTCCAGCTGACATCACCGGACAACTCTCCTCTGTACAGAAGTCTGTGATGGTTCCATAAAGCATATTGATTTGATTGAAAAAATCCACAGCTGCAAAGCAAATGTCCGTTATAAGTAAAATAAACAGTAAAAGAGTAACTTTATTTAAGCAGAACCCCAGGTTCTTTTCCCTACAAAAGCAGGTGGAAAGCTCACACCAAAGCCCCAATTGCTGACTATACCAAAATAGAGAGCAAGAAAACAAAGTGTGAAAAATTATTGGCAACCCACATAAAAGATGTATATATAAAATATACAAAGAACTATATGAGAGAAAGAAAAGACAACACACGAGGAAAAGTAACAATTTAAAATGCCCCCTCACAAAAAAATCTTTCTAGATAATCATAAAATCCTATGAAAAATGTTGACAGAATAAAATCACAAATTTAAATGATAATGGGTTGCCATTCTAAAGCCACCCCTGCAAAAACTTACTTCAAAATGGAAAAAGGCAACACACTGTGAATTGTGTGTGTATTCAGGGGCTGGAGGAAGATATTGATAGCTATTGCAGATACTCATTTCTAGCCACTTAGAGAAAATACAGACAGGAGGTAATTATCTGCTTCTATAGTTAACATCTTGTGTTCTACAAAACAGGGTTTTACATAGCCATTCTTAATCTTTCTTAATTAGTATATGCACGCTGGCAAAATGACTCAGTGGGTAGGAGTGCTTGCCACCAAGCCTGACAACCTGAGTTTGATCCCCAGAACCCACACAGTACAGAGAAAAAACTGTCCTCTAACCTCCACATATTTGCTGTGGCATGTGTACCCACACACATTATACACATACATGCAAACACACGAGTGAATGAATATAAAAAATCCAAATAACTAAGTAAATAAATGGGGTCTCAAAAGTACAAAAGCACAAACAAGTGCCAAAAAAAAGGAGGAGAGAGGAAAGAGGACAAGAGAGGAAGGGACAGGAGGGCACAGGAAGGGACAAGAAGAGATAGGAAGGGACAGGAGGGGACAGGAGGAACAGAGCCAGCAGAGCAAGGCAGCACACACCTTTAGTCCCAGCAACTGGGAGGGAGGTAGATCTGTCTAAATTAAAGGCCAGCCTAATCTACATAGTGAGTTCTAGGCCAGCCAGGGCTACACAGTGAGACTTTGTAATAATGTACACATACATTAGAAATTTATTCTGATTATCTTTGAGATGTCTCAAAAATCATCTTATAGGTAAGATGGTGCTCACCAATAAAGTGAAAAAACAAACCATTTTACTTCTAACAACAAAACTCTGTCCAGAAATCATATTATTTATAAGTATATTATAATAATTCACATAATTAAAAAATAATGTGACAGTAAAGTTCTTTTGACATTTCATGAAATTTCAGACTCAGACAAAATAACATGAAGACTAACACTGAATCAGGACATCACTACCTTGTGATGACCATTAGGAGAATAGGTCCTAGAATAGACAGTACCTCAACATTCACCTGCAGTGAGATCACTGACCCAATTCACAATCTACTGAGAAACAGAAAAACTACTTACTGTTAACTGCAACCCACTCATTTAGATCCTCTCCCTCAGGAAGCATGACGGCCATCCGGAGGTTGCCACTGCCAAGTGTGGCTTCTGCATGTTTTAAGAGCTCATACTGGTGAGAGCCCTCTGGGATGTTCTTCTTTGGCTTAAAAGTTTTAGAAGAGCGACTACCACTATGAATAGAAAAAACAAAATTATTTTAAAAATTATTTAAAAAATACTATCAATAGAATCTACAATTTTACTCAGTAACAAATAAAACTTTAACAGATACAAAGAAATTGGAATAACCCCCTGTATCATATCAGATCGCCATGGTTTAAAGACAGAATTCAACAACACTAATTGCAGAAACCTTATAAACTCATGGAAATTGAACAATTTCTACTGAATCATGTCTGGGTCAAGGAAGAAATAAGAAAGGAATTAAAGACATCTTAGAATTCAACAAAAATGAAAGAATCTACAATTTATTACTGGGTAAAATAAGTCATCTTAAATATCCAAAAAATTAGTATGAATTACACTTTCAGACTCCAAACTTAAACTGTACTAGCTATATTAATCCTAACAATAATATAGTTACTGTAATGACTGTGGTAGATATACCCAAAACACATAAACATTCTCTATATATTCCAGTTTAACTCAAGAGGAGAAAAACTTTCAGTTCCCCACAGTAAACCAACAACTCTGGATTACAAACTATAAAGCACTTCCATAGTAAGTATTAGCAGTTTTATTTCCTATGCAACCTTGTTTGTCATTTAATACAAAGAAGTGTTTCCTCTAACAGCAAGGGGAAACAAAGTTAAATGTTCCTCTACCCAATATTATAGGAAGCATTTGCAATCAATCTTAACACAGAATTTTGGTTAAAAGGGTAGTTAATATAACTGATCATCCAAATTTCATATATATATATATATATATATATGTATGTATGTATGTATGTATGTAGTGCAGTATATGTAACATACACACACATACAGTCAGCCCTCCAAATGAGCCTGCATATTGACTCAATCAAACAAGAACTGAAAATACTTGGGGAAATTATATATACTGTTTCCCTGTCATTATTTAAAGACAGTATAATGCATTTAGACTGTGTAAATAAACTGAGATATGAACTTAAAAGTACGTAAGAGGAGCCTGGCGTTGGTGATGCATGCCTTTTATCCCAGAAATTGGGAGGCAGAGGCAGGTGGATCTTTTTTAGTTCAAGGACAGCTGATCTACAAAGTTCCAAACAGCTGGGGCTACAGAGAAACCCTATCTTGAAAAAAAAAAAAACAAAAAAACAGTACATAAGAGGATGGATGTAGTATATATGAATCACACCATTCTATAAAAGACAGTTAAGCACACACATAAAGTCTTCATGACCTTGCAGGATCCTGGATCCAATTCTCACACACACACACACACACCAATATAGAGGATAGAATTGTACCACCATGCCTAGCAAAAAATAAAATGTTAAACAATTCAGCAATTGAAATGATTTTGCAGCTATATTTGTAATTATTGTTATAAAATAATTGTTTAATTATTGATTCTTAGCATCCTAATTAAAATTTTCTATAATTTTTACATCTAACTATCCATCCAGTTGAAGGTATTATAACATGTTATGTTCATTAGTGCTACAGTTTAGACATGGGCAGTATCCCCTGAAAGGTTAGTATGCTAAAGGGCTGCTTCCCAGGGTGATGCTATAGCATAGCAGTGTAACCCTTAAGAGACTTAGCCTCCTAAAAGGTCCTTGTCAAACTCTGGACATCAGGCTTTGCATGCAGATGCTTTAGCCAGCTGAGTCACTTCATTTGCCCAAAAGTCTATGCACCATCACTAAGAAAATGACACATGAATAACCTGCTCTATGTATGTATGCTTATCTGTGATAAATTATCAATTTGTATAATGTGACAGAAAATATTTGTAATGTTATGCTCAAAAATATAAATAATGGTTATCTGTGAAGTTCTAGCTGTAAATTATATTCTTTGACTTTTTGATACAGGGTGTCACTATGTACTCCACACTGGCCTCAAACTGGCAGTCCTACTATTCCCAGAGATCACTGACATGTACCAGCATGCTCAACAAGAATTATTTTTTCTTTTCTTAACTGTATTTTGTAATATCTTCTGTTGTAACACTAATACAAGAATAAGTTATAATATTATTAAGTTTAAAAGTTTCTCCTTTGTCTTCCTCTGTATTAGTGACAAAACCTTAGAAAAAGATCCTACCAATATAAGCATAGTACCTGCTAACACAGACTGTTCTGAAAAACAGACCCAACTTGTAAAATAAATGTATATATGGGCTGAGGATCTAGGTCACTGATGCAACACCTTCCTAGCCAGCACTAGTGTTGGGGAGGATATGAAAAATATAGGCATGGGGCTGTATCAATTACAGACAAGACAAAATAAGTCATATGCCTAGATCTAGACGTCCAGGACTCAAATTAGCTATATCATTTTTGGCTAAATGACTTTCCTGTGCCAGTTTCCCTACCTAAAAAGTGGAATTCCTGCTAGTTATTTAACTAAGGTCTTTAAAGCACTGAGTATCCAGGCTGGAGAAAATGCTCAGCAGCTAAGTACACTACAGCTCTCCAAAAGAACCCAGGTTAGGGGCACAGTAACCTCATGACATTCCAGTGTTCTCAGATCCAGTGCCCTCTTCTGGCCTCCACATGCATTGCATGCACATGGTGCACACACATAAATGCAAGCAAAACACTCATCATAAAATAAAAGTAAACCTTTCAAGTACTCATGCCTGGCTCACAGCAAACATTCACCAAGTTACAATTTGACATTTATTAACTAACTTTCTGTTATAGATGAAAACTGCAAAGCACTAAAATCAGCTAAATCATTTGCTTAAAAACAAGAAATAAGGATGGGGGGGACAGAAAAACTGACAAGAGGAAAGGAGACAGACACATGAACTTGAATAAAATTCTGGTCTCTTTTCCTACATTATTTATTGCTGCAAATGAAAAATGGAAGGTGCCTAGCATGGTGACTAATATATATTTTTTTCTTCCTTTCATTCCCAAACCATTTTTGCTTCTCCTATACAGAAATAGACATGATTTATATTCATTCACATCCCTAAACCACCTTTTGCTAAAGTTAACTGCATGTTTTAACCTAATCAAAAAGCTTTACAGTAGAAAATCACACTCTCAACCAGGCTTGGTGGCACACACCTTTAGTCCCAGCACTCGGGAGGCAGAGGCAGGCGATCTCTGTGAGTTCGAGACCAGCCTGGTCTACAAGAGCTAGTTCCAGGACAAGCTCCAAAACCACAGAGAAACCCTGTCTGGAAAAACCAAAAAAAAAAAAAAAAAGTAAAAGTAAATTACACTCTCATTTTTCTCAATTTCTCAAAAGAATTTTTAAATGCTAGAAACAAAGTACATTCAATGTATTTTTTGATTATTACCAAGAATCACTTTTATCCTCAATTTCTCTGCATTTTACAAACATAAACTATCAGGAGGGGGGGGGGAAACCTAAGTGAAGAGCCTGTGTTCCAAAGACTGGGTGGGCCAGCAATCCTAAACTGGTGTTTGTGACTTTGCCCCGTAGGTAAAATAGGGAACAGGGTATTATTACTGACAAGAGGCCATCTAATCACTTCAAAAGTCTACAGCTTCTTGTACATACTTCAGAATGTACAGTTCACAAGCAATTTCCTATTTCCCAAGTGAAATATACCACTGCCCCCTTTCTTTCTTAGAGAACTCTTACCTTTCACTAGATAGCACCCAACTTTTTTCATAATAAAAAAAGTGATGTCATATCACTTTTTCTTGAAGCGTACTTAAAACAAATTTCTTCCTATGCTTGAGAACTTCATGAGGGAACTATGCCCATAGAGATGATTTTGATGCACTATCTACTGTCTCTGGAGTACCCACACTCTCCACACTGATGAAGACATAGTTAAGAATTTGATCTGCAGGGCAGTAGTGGTACACACAATTAATCCTAGTACTTGGGAGGCAGAGGGAGATGGATCTCTGTGAGCTTTGAGGCCAGTCTGGTCTACAGCCTGGTCTATGTGTCAGGATGCAAAGCTACACAGGAAACCCTATCTTGTAAAAACCAAGAAGAATTTGAACCTACAAAGCTAACATAGTTTCTGTCAAGTTTCTATATTCACCAACCAGGGGTTCAGTTTAATTTACAGACATGCAGAGGCCAATGTCAGTACATCCACAGCTTTAGGCCAGCCTTTCACACAAAGCAAGGAAATCCTAAGCATTTGTACAAAAGTTATACTATCACTCTGGAAGACCACCTGTGCACCCACCAGGATTACCCTTATCTGCCTCCAGGTCCTATCCAGAAGCTCTTTACCCTGCCTTTCTTTGTTCCGCAGCATTGGTCCTCTTCCACAGTAAGTAACTCACTGACATTTAACACTTGTCATCACTGACTAAAACATAAACTGACTAAAACTCCACTAAACAGGAAGCTTGTCTATCTTACATAAATGATACTGCTAACCACAGTGAAAGTTGTGGGGCTTCTAATCAATAGAGCTTTCCTTCTCGGACACTACACATCACGTTTTAACCCTATCTCCCACTGGCCTATTTCCTAGGTTTTTCTGCTTACAATAGCCTTCCCAACAAGGTTCCAAGAACCAAAGGACATCTGTACTTAACTCCTTAATTTTTCTTTCTTTTTCTGCTTCCACTGATGGTTCATAAATAATACTAAAGAAACTATAAAATAAAAATTGCCAGATTAAATTTGTTGGTTTTTGACAGGGTCTCACTATTAGCCCTGGCTGGCCTGGAACTCTCTAAATAGACCAGGCTTACCTTGAACTTACAGAGATTCACCTGACTCTGCCTCCTAAATTCTGGGATTAAATGTCTGCACCACCATGCCTGGTTCCCTCCAAATTAACTTTTCTGGATTGTTAAACCCATGGGCAAAACCTGTTGAGAGTTATTAACATCTTATCTGTGACCTCGCTACAAAACCATTCCCCAATTAATTAGTACAAACTCTCCAGATGATCACATGAGTAAGAGAAATACCATCTTATATAGTTAATATTCATCAGGAAAAAAAAAATGAACTAACCCACCATGTATCTGAACCTCATATGAGCCACATTAAAAACAGGATTTATTTGTTTCACAAAACATCACTAACTTCCAGCCAAATATGGCCCTCCTACACTTCAACCACTTTAGCTTATGAGTTTCAAAAGAAAAAAAGCTTGTCAGCAGCAACTATCCCATTTAAATCCTTGAGAACAGGATATAAGCAATGAAAAATTGCACTCAACATGAGAGTTGCTTGGGTATACTGATTAAAGGCAAAATATGAATCAACAACTTATTGTAGTTTCTCTCACCTACTGACAAACTCAGAATCAGCCCTAGAATAAAATAAATTTACAAGTTTAAACGTGTCAGGCAGGTTGACACAAGCCAGACACTGTGCCTAGGAGGAAAATCTGCCCAGGGTGAGCCTTCCATGACAGTTCAGCGTTGCCTAAACACCTTAAAAAGAAATAATATCCTGTATTTGAGCGTGTAAAAATAAGAGTGAATACCCAGGATTCAGATACCAATGTGATGACTAAAACTTATGGGAGAGGAAAGAGAAATCTGAATAGAAAGGAATTGCTAAATGCTGTTTGCTCCACAACAATAAAGGGACAAGGGGTGTATGAGGTGGATTACAATCTTAAAGGGCGTATTTTTATTCTGTTAGAAAGCTTTCAAAAGGGCTACATCAGGTGTAATGCCAGGGACCTGAAGTTTGTTGATTCCAAACCCTAGCCTTGTTGTCCCATTTTTCTGCCCCAACTCCTACCTTCACCTCAAATTTGTCTGAAAGAAATGGTTCAGTAAAATAATGACCAGCACTAAATGTAACACTCAAGTCGGTATTAAAAAATGGCTGGCGTGCCCGGCGATGGTGTCCCACATTTGGGAGGCAGAGGCAGGTGGATCTCTATAAGTTTGAGGCCAGCATGGGCTACCAAGTGAGTTCCAGGACAAACTCCAAAGAGATACAGAGAAACCCGTCTCGAAAAAGGAAAAAAAAAAAATGTCTGGCCCTACAGCCAGTGGACCTAAATTAACACCCCCCCACCCCCCCCACACACACATATCACCCAGATCCTACAAGAAAACCCCCTGGTTGTCACCAGGGAATCCAGGCCCTCAAACAGCCCTGTTTTGAAGTTAGCTCTATGGAACTTTGCTCTCAATTTCTCAACTGTAAGACCTAAGATGTTAAAGGTATGGGGACAGTTGGAAAAGAAAATTCCATCTTCTATGCTTGGGACTCGGAAAACAGCAATGGGCAGCTGACACAGAGCCTGACAATCTTTGGAAGCCAGATGGGAGAGTGGGAGGTAAGTGTGCAAATACACACAGGCACACACGAGTGGGAGGTGAGTTTGCAAGCACATACACACATATACACACATCACTCTCTACATATGGATATACATATGCATACATGTATACATATATGGGGGGAGCAGGGAGGCATGGCCCAAGGCAGCGTCAGGAAGATGCAGACGCAGGGCCCAGGAGCACCAGGGCCCTGCTTCCAACAGCACCAGAGTGATGGCGAGGCAGGGCCGGGGAGGACTAGGAGGCAGGGGAGAACAGCACACGGAGGACTGGGAGGCAGGGCCCGGCAGCACAAGGAGAACCGAGAAGCTGGGCAGGGGAGGGCAGGAGGCAGGGAAGGGGAGGGCAGAGAGGCAGGGCCCGGGAGGACGGTGAGGCAAGGCAGAGCAGCACACGGAGGACGCAGAAGCAGGGCCGAGGAGGACAGGAAGCAGGGAAGATGAGGACGCAGAGGCAGGGCCAGGGAAGACGGGGAGGACGGAAGGCAAGGCCGGGCAGCACAGGGAGGACGAGGAGGCAGGGCCGGGGAGGGCGGAGAGGACGGGAGGCAGGGCCGAACGGGAGGCAGGGCCGGGCAGCACCGGGACGACGGGGCCTCGGGAGCCCGCGGCCCAGGGGGCGGCGGAACAAAGCCAGCGCGGCCGCTCTACTTACAACAAGAAGCTCATGTCGGCCGCGGCGTGGGCTGCGGGCTCGGCAGAGCGAAGCCTGGGGCGGCGCGGCCGGCTTGACTCAGGGAAGGCCACAAGGGTAGGACGCGCGGCAGCGGGGCGCCCGCCGACTTCTCGGGCTTCGGTACTCCCAGCGGCCGGCGGAAGTGGAAGACCTGGGCTCGGCCGGCCCCGCCGAGTGCAGCCGAGAAGCCAAGGAAGCACCGCCCGCCCGCCCTGCTCGCCAGCTCCACGCCCCCTCACAGAGATCTCGCGAGAGCCCAGGCGTCCCGCCCACCCCGGAATCACCTTCGGGTCACCTCGGCAGCCCACGTTCACCGGCGGAGCAGGAGTGCTGGCCCGAGCACGCGTGCCGGGGTTGTGGGCCGAGGGCGTCCGGAGTCGCTCAGCCGCGTTCGGAGCCCAGGAGGGAGGTGTACTGCCATTCCAGCCCTGAGTTTTGTGGAGAGGGAACGAGTCGCCATCAAAGAGTGCCCAGCAAGGACCGTGGAAGTGCACGGGCTCGCTGTAGGCAAGCACTCCACCAACTTGAGCTCCAGCCCCAGTCCCTCTATGCTCGCATTTAAAAACAGATATTTCTTCTGCTTGGAATGACTCGGGGATGGGATTTCGGGAAAGGGATGAAGTTAGTTTTAGAAGTTTTTTGTCTAATGGGCATATGCTAGAACACTGGACTCGGAGGAGATAAGACCACTTATTGAACAAGCAAGCTAGGCTGACGGCAGCAGATAGGAAAACTGGGGGAGCCAAGGTACAGCATGAATCCCAGAATGGCAGGAAGCTGATTTTCCGTGGCCAGTTGTGGGGTCCAGTGTAAGCACTGATGCACAAAACACTTCACGAAGTAACAATTATTCAGCCTCACACTTGAAGAAACTTTAATTCTCACATGCTTAAGAAGCCGAGGGCAAGGCTTTGTACCTCAGAATAGTTGGCCTAGATGGCTCAGCCAATAAAGTCGCTTATCCCCAAGCCTGATAACCTGGAACCCGTAAAGAGAACCAGTTCCCACAAGTTGTTATCTCACTTCCACACATAAGCACAAGTAAATAAGTAAATATGCAGATAAATAAATGAGAAAAAAATAAAGAATGGTTGGCGCTATGCGTGGTGGTGTTTGGCCATACACCTCAGAGTGAGGCAGAAGGATCACACAGTTGAAGAAAGCCAGGACAGCATAGGAAGATAAGGTCTGGGGTGGGGGTGGCAGCGCCGGCTTTTTACACTACAACGCTGACAGCTGACAGCATATGTTACCCACTTAGGTAGGAAAATAATGTTCACCTTTTTTTTTTTTTTTAAGTTTTTTATTCACACCATCGGCTCTACAAGTTTCCAAGGAGTCTAAATGAAACACTGTATAGATATTAACCCAACTTAAGCTTACCACTCCAAAAGGCAAAAAAAAAAAAAAAAATTGAAGGTGATGCGAATATTGAACTTATCCTATTTCATTTATATACCTGTAATTTGCTGTGTTGGTTGAGTGGTTTAAAAAACAAAAACAAAAAATGCAAGAAAACTGAACCTTGTGTTATCTTGGGAATAGCAAATGACGATTTGAAGACATCCTCAAAAGGTAAGAAGAGGTCAAGATGTGGTAGCACAAGCCTGCCTTTAATCCCAGAATAGGGAGGCAGAAGCGTGAGTCCAAAGCTAGACTGGTCTACATATTGAATTCCAGGTCAACCAGAGACAAGGTCTAAAAAAAAAAAATTTAAAAAAGAAAAGGATTTAAAGGATTTACTATAATGAAATAATGAAAACAATAAATCAGTTGGTGATGTAAAATGGAGTTTGTCTCATCTGGTTAGGAAATACTTGAGAAAGAATACTGAGACAACACATCAGAACCTGAGCCTCACCCACTTTTAACTTTGGTCCTGGCAACCAGACTTGGCTGTGATGTCTGTGCTTAGGAAGGACAGCTACAGAGGCAGGAGGACACTAAGCATGAAGCCAGCCTAGGACTGTACAACCAGACACCCAGACACGGGAGTCAGAAAAACAGTCCAGTAAAGCTTTGGATTATTACAGGATCTTTGTTTTGTTTTGTTTGTTTGACACAGGGTTTCTCTGTGTTGCCCTGGCTGTCCTGAAACTCAATATGTAGGCCAGGCTGGCCTTGAACTCAGAGATCCACTACCTCTGCTGGGCATTAAATGCTATGCTGGGATTAAAAGCGAATGCCATCATGGCATGGCTATTACATGATCTTTGAGATACTTTCCAGTTCTAAAGTTCTAGCCTGTCAGAGGTATCCTTCTAAATAATGGCACACAGCTCTTCTCCCCTACTCAGCTTAGGTGACCCTGCCTTTGGTTTGATATCATTTGTATGCATCCAGTCAATGAATCAGGAAAAGGACCAGCAGAGGAAAGACTCTGCAAGCAAAACTGCTGAGGCCTGCTCTGTTCCATCATTAGAAATGCCTCCTTGAGTTGACATCTGAGGAAACAAACATGTTGGTCCTGAAAATGAGAGAAAATATTATGGTGATATATTGTTTATGAGCTACTAAAGCTTGCCTAGAGATCAGAATGCAAAGCTAGCCACACTAATCAGACATAGAGGCCAGTCAGTGGTGGTACACACCTTTAATCCAGCAGCCATACTAGGTAGCCATAGAAAGCTGGGTGGTGGTGGCACAGACCTTTAATCCCAGCACCAGAGAGGAATATAACACAGGAGCAGGGTCTCAGAGCTGGCATCCAGTCTTGGGCAATTAGTCTCCAGCCATATTGAGGACAGGATCTCCCCAGCCTTGGTAGAGGTGAGAAGTCTCTGGTAACTTGTCTGCTTTGCTTCTCTGATCTTCAGCTTAAACCCCAATATCAGTCTCTGGGTTTTTATTATTCATACTACAAAATGTCATCTTAACAGAATATAATTCTACAAGGTTAGGTTCTAAAACAAGCAAATGACTTACATAAAATCTTCAGTATACTAGAAATAATGGGAATTTCAGAATTAAAGAACCACATTCAAGTAAATTTTTTGTGATAATTTCTCTGGAATTTGAATACACTATAGTGTGTGTGTGTGTGTGTGTGTGTGTGTGTGTAGTGTGTGTAGGCTAATGAGTAATGAGTGATAGGTGCTTGTGTAATCACAAGGCTGATTTTAGGAGTCCTCTTCAATTACTGTCAACCTTATTTAGGGAAGCAAAGTCTCTCACCTGAACCTGGAGCTCACTAATCTAGCTAGCCAGCTTGCTACAGGAATTCTAACAAGGTCTTCTGAACTGTAGGAATTATAAGTGGTGGCCATGCCCACCTGGCATTTACCTGGATTCTAAAGATTTGAACTAATGTCCTTACACTTGCTCCATAAGTGGCATTTCACCACTAAGTCATCTCAGACCTAAGGTTTTGATTATGTCATGATTTATGGATGAGTGTGTGCCTGTGTGTCTGTATGTGCACCATGTGTATGCGGTGTGCTTAGAAGTCAGAAGGGGGCATCCTGTCCTTGGAATTGGAGTTATAGTTCATTGTCAGCTGACTGATATGGGTGCTGGGAACCAAACCTGGGGCTCAGTAGGAGTGGCAAGTGCCCTTAGCTGCTGGACCATTATCCCTTGAAGCACCCAAAGTTTGAGATTTTTAGAAAGGTGTTCTGTCAAGATATAGAGCTTGGGCAGAATGGGCAAAGGGAAGAATGGCTTCAGATGAAGGTGGATATCTAGGCGGAAAGCAGACAGGCGTCCAGTCCTCAGCAACACTCTTGGAATCTCCAGCCTGACACCTGGATTTTAATCCAAGAGCACTGAGAAGTCAGCAAACACCAAGAGTAGGAATATCAAATTGACCAGAATAATCTTTAAGATGTTGAACATATACAAAAGGGCAGAGCTTAAATCATCATGCAGTCCATGGGGCAGTTCTTGACCCTGATGAGCATGTTACATATGGCTAGCACTGGATGGACTGCAGATACCCAGAAGCTGTAGACTTCTGAAATAGTTCAATTGTTTCTTAGTAACTGAGATTTTATTTAAGATAGAAATAATGAAAAAAAGATGAAGTAAAAACCAGTGGCACTTGGAGTTGGTGGTAGGGGTTAGAAGAAGAAAGGAGCAAAGATGGCCATGGGTTTTCAGGAGTAGTAGTGCCACTTGTGAAAGGGAAGATGTGAGTTGTAAATTGGAAGTACAACCAAAGGCTCTATATTGGACATGTCCACTTTGAGATGTGTGTTAGGCACCTGGGTCAAGTTTAGACCTCTGCATGATGCCTGGGAGAAGTGTAAACCCAAAAGTGAATGTAGGAAGCTTCAGCAAGTGGATAGTTTTAGAAGTCTCAGAGGAGCTTTAAATAAGAAGTTTTATGCCATGTAAAAATAGACCAAAATGTTACCTTTAAACATCTGTGTTTCTTCTTTAATTCTCTTCCCAAAATAGAAACAGGATCTCATCAAGTCTCCAGATCTAATCTATCAACTCATAGAAAATACAGGTGAGAAAAGGATGTGGCAAAAAAAAAAAAAAATTAAAATTTTACCACATACAATCAGCAAAGTTTAAACTGTAGGGAAACCATGCTAGACCCAATTCTTTCAATAAGAGAAAAGGAAAGCACTGCACAATAAGAAACTGGTAGTCAGCTTTCTGTTACGGTGATAAAATACTTGATAATTAGCCTGGGGAGGTTGAATTGTATTTATACCCAAAGACTGATAAGGGCTGCTCTCAGCCTTGCCCAGAGAAGATTTGTTCTGCAGTGGGAAACAGTTAATGACTCATAATTCATTAAAGGGCTGGAAAAAAGTGAGTAGTAAGTGTTCAACCCCAAGTGAGACATCAATATTAACACACACAGACAAACACTCAAACACATGCACATACACACACATACACACACAAACACTCAAACACGTGCACACACATGCACATACACTCACACTCATGTATGGTACTCACACATGCACACACACGCACATGCACACACACGCATGGACACATATGCACACACACATGTACACATTCACACACCAGACACACACAAACACTCCAACACATGCACACACATGCACATACACTCTCACACACATGCACGCACACACACATGCACACACTCATACATACACTCACACACACACATGCACACACACTTACA